CACACACACACACACACACACACACACACACACACAGTGGTGTATAAAGTACCCAAAAGCCATACTTGAGAAAAAGTAAAGATACCTGACTGGAAAATGACTCCAGTAAAAGTAAAAGTCACCTATTAGAATACTACTTGAGTAAAAGTCTTAAAGTATCTGATATTTATTGTACTTAAGTATCAAAAGTAATTTTCTGATATTAAATGTACTTAAGTATTGAAAGTGAAAGTACAAGTAAATGCTGTTAATAAAAAAGCAAAGGGTCAGAATTTTGAGAATTATGAAGTTTTTTCTTTTAAGTGCTGTGGCCACCATGACCAAGGACATGGAGCTGTGTTGACAATAATTGGGTTGGCTGTGATCCATCCAGGAGCAACAATGTTCAACATAATATATTGTACATAAGTATACTTTTGCATCTACTATGAACTTATCATCATAATTCTCCGAAAAGCAATATGACGCTATGAAGGAGTTGTAACAGTGCGTTTATAAGTATGCTCATTCCGACTAGAGGATGTAGAGGGCAAATGCATCATATTGTGTTCAGCAACAAATATCCACTTGATGCATCAGGTCAGTGTTGTGAGAAAGGACACCTGCAGTTTTGAACAGGTGGGTTTTGATTTGAGATTTGATTGTGCAAAGGTCAGTGCAGTCTCGGATGTGTTTGGGGAGAGAGTTCCAGAGGGAGGGGGCAGATATGGAGAAGGCTCTGTCACCCCATGTCCGGTGCTTGGTCCTGAGTGGAAGAGACAGGAAGTTGGCATCAGAGGAGCGGAGCCGACGGGATGGAGTGTGGTGGTGAAGCAGGTCGGTGAGGTAGGAGGGGGCCTGATTGTGGAGGGCTTTATGAGTGAGGAGAAGGATTTTGTATTGGATCCGTTGTGGGATGGGGAGCCAGTGGAGGTTCTGGAGAACAGGGGTGATGTGGTCACGGGAGCGGGTGTGGGTGAGCAGGCGAGCAGCAGAGTTTTGGATGTACTGGAGTTTATTTAGGATTTTGGATGATGTGCCGTGGAGAATGCTGTTGCAGTAGTCAATTCTTGAGGTAATGAAGGCGTGGATCAGAGTTTCAGCAGCAGATGAGGAGAGTGATGGGCGGAGACGGGCTATGTTTTTTAAGTGGAAAAAGGCAGTTCTGGTGATTTGTTTGACGTGGTGTTCAAAGGAGAGGTTGCTGTCGAACATGACTCCAAGGTTGCGGATGTGTGGGGAGGGAGACAGAGTTGAGTTGCTGCAAAACCTTTGCAATAGGCAAAGGTTTTGCTCAAGCTGAATCTGCAATTGGGCGACTGCTACCATCATAACTCCATCTGATCATCCACAAAATGACTGAAATATCAAAACATGATCAATACTAAAGCAGCAACCCAGTCATTACTTGAAACTGAAAAATGTCCTGTTCATCTTCAAAATAATTGGTTTTCAAAATTGCGAGAATTCCGTCTCGCTCTTCTTGGGCTGAAGACTAGTCCTGCGATGCTAACTAGCCTTTCACAGGCCGCTGAGGCAGGTAGAGGTGTGTTCAGCTTCACACACAGCTTGCCCACAGCTGGGAAGGATTTCCCTAATGCTAACCCTAATGCTAACCCTGATGCTGCGCTCTCGCGGCTCCTGTCAATCCTATGGTGTGGTGGCTAGCTAACGTTAAGTTAGTTAACGTTAGCCAACTAGTGCTGCACAACTGTCAACACTTCCTCAGCTCACTAACTCGCTAGCGATCCATGGGTGTTGGTCTTCGTCACCACCGTCGTTTGTTGCGGGAGTAGCAGGTGCTTCCATTTCTGCTTCCGTCATGAAATCAGTCATCGTAGAGTGGAATTATACTAATGTAGTCGCCCGCTAGCTATAGCATATAGCATCCTGGGCATCAATCAAAACACCGCGGCTTTGTGAGCACTTGTTTGTAATTGTGCATTAACGTGATTAACCAATGATTTAACTTGTAAGCTAGGACCACTGATTCGCCAAACCTGCTTGCTTGCAGTCTGTGTTCCACCACAGTCCCCGACGTTGGGGACTGTTGATTCATTTTGTTTCTAAAGATAGATTTGATTTTGTAGCGAGTAACGAAGGTTTCAGGGGAAATGTATCGGAGTAAAAGTATCAGTTTTCTTTGCAAAATGTAGTGAAGTAAAAGTAAAAGTCAACAGAAATATAAGTAGTAAAGTAAAGTACAGATATCCAAAAAAACGACTTAAGTACAGTAACGAAGTATTTCTACTTCGTTACTATACAACACTGCACACACAGACACACACACACACACACACACACACACACAACTGACTATAGGATGTTTGCTGGCTTTTATCCCACTGTTCTTGTCATTCTCTTGTTATGTCTATGTATTGTCTCTTGTCTTTCAATAAAAAAATAAAAATAAATAATAACAATAAATTTTAAAAATGCGTTTACGTGCGATAAAATAATTGTCGGCGTTAATTAATGAATGCGTTAACGTGATAATAACGCGTTAACTTGCCCAGCACTAATATATATATATATATATATATATATATATATATGGTTACATATAGTTTCATTTCTTTGCCATATTGTAAGGATCATCAGAAATCATTACATTCATAAATTCAAAGATAAACATTCAATCTGGTATCCATAGTAACGATGCCATCCAGGACTCCATGGATAGAATGGTCTCTTTATGACATCACAGATTCTCTGCCTTTAATGTCGAGGATTCCATGGATAGAATGGTCTCTTTATGACATCACAGATTCCGTGCCTTTGATGTTAAGCCTATATATCCCTGTACATTCCCTCACACATTTGAGAGCAGACATCACATTGGTTAAGACACACACTTGACAACTTCATTGAAAACTCTCGTACAGTCTTTCACAGCACACATCAAATTGGTTAAGATACACACTTGACAATTGCTTTGGAAAACTCTCGTACAGTCTTTCACTGCACTTATCAAGTTGTTTCAGAAACTCATTTGACAATTGCAATGGAAAGAATAAGAAAGCAAAGACAGATGGTGAAGGAGTATCAGAAGAAGCTGGAGGCTGAGCATCACGTTCAGCCTAAAACTACCACCAAGGAGGAGATGGAGGTATTTCAGCTCAAGGACGATCTTGATAAGGCCAAGCAGGAGTTGAAAAATGGTCAACTACAATGGCAAAAGGAGAAGTCTCTCTATCATGCCAAGGCTTTCTGTCAAGCCAAGACTTTCTATAAAGCCCGGATGGACGAACAGAGAGTGGAGACAAACAGGATCGCAGCAGCTCTGAAAGAAACACAAGAGCTGCTGGAGACTGAGCGTCACGTTCAAACTACCACCAAGGAGGAGATGGAGATATTTAAGAACCTCTGTCAGGCTACAGTTGATGAACAATTAGATGTCAGCAGTAAGCTCAAAGCAGCCTTTATCAAGGCTGAGCAGGAGCTGAAAAATGGTCATCTTCAATGGCAAGAGGAGAAGTCTCTCCATCAAGCCAAGGCTTTCTCTCAAGCCAAGGCTTCCTATCAAGCCCAGATAGACAAACAGAGAGTGGAGACGAACAGGATCGCAGCAGCTCTGAAAGAAACACGGGACCTGCTGGAGACTGAGCGTCACGTTCAAACTACCACCAAGGAGGAGATGGAGGTATTTAAGAACCTCTGTCAGGCTACAGTTGATGAACAGTTAGATGTCAGCAGTAAGCTCAAAGCAGCCTTTATCAAGGCTGAGCAGGAGCTGAAGAATAGAGATCTACAATGGCAAGAGGAGAAGTCTTCCTTCGTAGACCAGAATAAAAAAGCCTCTGAACTATATCATGCCCAGCTGAAGACCATAGCTGATTTTGGAAGAATGGAGAAGGAGGCTAAGCAGACACTAGAGAGATTCCAGGCAGCCCATGAAGGCCAGCTGGAAGAACAGAGAGCAGAGACCAACAAGATCTTGGCAGTTCTGAAAAAGACTGAAGATCTGTTAGAAGCTGAGCATCTCCGTTTCCAGGAACAGTCATCCCTCACAGCACACCTGGAAAAAACCTGCAGGGACCTCAATCATGACCAGCTGAAGAACATAGCTACTATTCAAACATTGGAGGAGGAAGCTACGCAGATGGTCAAAAGAAACCAGGCGTCCCAAGCCCAGCTGGAGGAGCAGAGAACGGAGATAAACAGGATCAAAGCAGCCCGGAAAAACACCGAAGATCTGTTAGAGACTGAGCGTTTTCTTTGGCAGCAGGAGAAGTCTTCCCTCCTTCAGGCCACCGAAGATCTTCAGGCCACCGAAAAAGATCTTAAGAGCCAGATCACCAACAAGCAGAAGAAGAAGAAAAAATGGTTCAAACTCTTCTAATGCCTGGCTCCCTACTGTCAAAACATCAGACAGTAAAACACTGACAGGGTACATTTTACTGCACGGGTGCTTCTACTTTTGGTACTTTAAGTACATCTAGCTGATTATAACATAATTGACTAAGGTTTCGAATGCAGGACATATACTCGCCGTGGATAGTTTCATCAGTATGGTATTAGTACTATGACTGTAGTGAAGGATCTGAATAATTTTTCCTCCACTAATTACTTGTGAGTTTGGCAAACAGTTAATATACAAACAGTGGTTCTTAACCCTGGCTCCAGATCCTTGACCGGATGGTCAAGGATCTGGAGCCCCTAACCCTAACCGCTCTTTGTATGTAAACTGTTTGCCAAACTCACTTACAAGTAATTAGTGGATGAAAAAGTATTCAGATCCTTCACTGCAGTAAAAGTGCAAAAACCATACTGATGAAACAATCCACGACGAGTGAAAGTCCTGCATTCAAAACCTAAGTCAAGTATGGTAAAATCAGCAAGATCTATACTTAAAGTACCAAAAGTAGAAGTACCCTTGCAGTAAATAACCCCCCCCCCCACCCCACCCCCCAACCCCCCACCCCACCCCCCCACACCCCACACCCCATGCCCCCACCCCACGCCCCTAGGGTTCATTCTGTACACACGACATCATTGCACTTCTGTCCATCCTGGGAGAGGGATCCCTCCTCTGTTGCTTTCCCACAGGTTTCTTCCTCTTTTCTCCCCGTTAAAGGGGTTTTAGGGGGAGTTTTTCCTGTTTCGATGCGAGGGTTCTGGGACAGAGGATGTCGTATGTGTACAGATTGTAAAACCCTCTGAGGCAAATCTTTACAAAAAAAAAAAATAATAAAAAAAAAAAAATTTAATTGAATGTGTGTTTTAATTATGTCATGCTTGTAAATCGTTGTTGGAAATTCTAAGTTGTACTACGGTCATGTTTAATATTTTAATGTGTAAAAATTAGTGCTGGGCAACGATTAAAATATTTAATCGCGATTAATCGCATGGATTTTTTGCGATTAAATGTGATTTATCGCATTGTTATGGCAAAATTCAATAATGAATTCAAATCTAGTGTATTGCTCACTTTTATTTTGAAAGTACTGCTATATGAACAAAAGGGCAATAACATTTGGTTTGTAAACACTTTAAACAAATAAGGTGCTTTTTAACAGCAGTATTCCCTTTACACAGTAGCAGTTAAAATACAGTTATAATGATTCTGATAATAGATATTCAGCTGGTGTTCATAACATAATCTTCATGTGTGTAATAGATGCAATTTGAAATATACACCTTGAAAACTGCAAACCTATCAACTTCTTTTTTTTTGTTAAATTCTCAGTAGTGATAACTAAATGATGCTTATTATACATATTACAAACAAAACACTTTAAAAACTCAACAATATGTATTTTAATATTGTCACTGTTGTAAATTGTTTGATTGCATGATTTACTTTTATTGTGAAGAGCATGAAAACGGAAGTGCTTTTACTTTGAAGAGACAGGAAGTAGAATGGTACGTGTTCTTGACGCTAACAATATTGATGATAAGTAGAAAACCACATGTCGGGTGCAAGAGCGTGTTGTGTTCACTGTAACACTGTAATACTGCAGTTCAGACAGTAAAGTATTCCGTTCAAACAAGGCCACTATACTGCAGAGAAGCTGTTCTGGTTCATGGAAACAGGACACAGTATTGGCCTCCTTGAGAGTTGAGCCTTTAAAAATTCCATGTCTGTTGACAAACCCCCTCAAACCCCCTCTGCCAGCCAGACTGCTCTACAGCATCCCTCTCCAGAAAAGCTCTCTTCCCTTCACACAATGTGTTTTCCTGGCCTCTTCACCACCCAAGCAGTGCTGTGACGAAATCCCAAATAAACATAGCATCTGAGACAGAGGGACGTATCTAGGACAGAGGGTTGTCCTGTCTGTGGGGAACAAGGCAAAACAGATTCTTCTCTGTTGTGCAGCTGCAGCTCGCGTTCATAGCATCACATGACCTCCAGCAGTGTGGAGCAGAAGGCTGAACACTGGACACTCCAATCACGTTCCTGTCACACAGACCAGGACTTACAGTGTAGTCAGTTGGAAGTGCCCTATTTGCAATTTGATTCTAATTATTTATAAAAGCTGCCATGAGAGCCAGACCAACTTTAACTGCACATTCATGCGTATACAATGGGCTACCCCATGTATCCTGGATTCCTTTGGAGCTTTAGTTGTGTGCACCCTATGAGATTAACACTATACTGTATAACAAGTTGCAATCAAGTGGGGGAAGTTTGTCAGGACAAGAAAATGAGGTCAGCAACAGATCTTGTCACAGCCGCAGCGGCTTTTTCCGATGTGATCTTAACATCAAAAATGTATTAACCCCCTTGAGTGTTGCCATGTTTAGTCATGTTTATACCGTTGGCCCTGATCTGCCACCCAGTAAACATACTGATATAACTACCAATGTTACGTATGTGACACAACTGGCTCAGATGACCTGGGTATAACTCAAAGAGGGCTGGAGTCTTGAAGTCACAAGGAGTAAACACCTATCACAAACCATTGAAATGAAAACAAAGTTTTTGCACACTGATATCCGAACACATCAGTGTTCTCTGTCTCTGTCCAAAATTGCTCTGGTGGCTCCTACGATGCACAAACGGTGAAGTGGGCTTTTATATGATCGGTTTGGCTAACTAGTCGCCCAAAGTTTCATTTGATTGTATTATTTTTTGTAAACGCCTATGAGTGCCGGATGAGTCATCAAACTCGGTTTGAAACCATAAAAAAAGACCCTCTAACTTCCGTTTCACTGGGACTCTGCTTGGACAGCCCAATATATTCAGTGCTTTTGGAAATTGTCTTGTATCCTTCTCTTGGATGGTTCTTGTCAATAACCTTGGCATTCTTTTTTTTTTCTATGCTCCTTACTTGATGTCGGTTAAAATAAGTACTTAGAGAAACATTTATGTTTGGGTTAAAATTATTACTTTGCTAATTCATCGTCACGGTCACAGTAATACTTGGTTATGATTCGAGGACAATGGCAGTCAACTGTTGGTTGAAAACGGTCCAATGGTTAGTTCAGCCATCCATCCACCCTGACCTCCTCCCTATGTGGACTTATCGCTCTATAACACCGTCACCTTATGTCCCATCATACTTACTTAGAAGTCTTTGTCACTTCAACAAAAACAGATTCTGTTTTGGGGTACGTTCTTCTGGGGAGGATAGTCTGATTTTGTACCGTTGGCCCCTATGATAATGCCATGTAGTTGGGAGCTTAACCCCTATTCTACTATATGAAGCCCTGTTCCTGTCAAAGCTCTGCTGAGGGTTCTGAGCACCTCTTCCACCCAGTAATAATATGACATTGTTTGACTGTCAAGATATGTTTGTTCCAACTGGAATGAAACAGCGGGAGCAGAGTCTTCATTCTGCATGAAGAGTCTGTCAAGAGAGATTTCTGAAACCCAGACTAATTGAATTCTTTCAGAGCTTGCTCCATATTCCGCGGAGGAGAGTCAGTACAGGCTTTGACCTCTTGAATCCTGATTTCCCCCTTATATTTAAAGTTGTGTTAAAGCGAGCAGTGTTTTTCACACAGCATAGCAATAACACATAAGTGTTTTTTCATTCAGTTCGTTCCATCACTGCATGAAACGAGAAGGAGGTATCCTGTCATGTCATACAGCCCACAGTACTAAATGCTGAGCCTACCGGCCCCCCACAGGAACATGGTCTCTTGTGTGGGATGGACTCAAAAACAGTTAAGTGGGACACAGCAAGAAACCACACATGGGCCTTTACACAACCAGCTGCATCAGAGTCATGGTGACCTGCATGGAAGGGAATCACTGTTTTCTTTGGGACAGTTTCTTTAGTGGAGAGAATATTTAATGAAAACAGTTCACAGTGAGGTCTGTGGATTATCCACAGCATCCTGGACATTGGGAGCATCTCAAGTTGAATTTTCTGATACTTTAACCACTATTCACATCCTTTTTGTCATGCTTTGTTGAATTGCATTTTGCATAATATGTCACTTTGAAAAAAACATTTTCACATTCACACACTTTACTTTTCACTTGCTTTAATAATGTAAGTAATGCTTACACTGTGGCACTCTGCTGTGGTGAAGGAGAGCAGCACTGCAACACCAGCAGGCTGAGGCGGACAAAACACGCTTTAACAACATCGACCCCTTAAATAGTGTGTGGATCGCCCCTGATTCAGATCTTTTGGATCTGCATGGGATATCTCTACCATTCATCCCTCTAGTAGAGTTCCACACTCTTGGAGAATCTATGAGAAGCAGCAGTGAATCTGTTTTCAAAGAAGACCTTGCTTACAAGATTGCAAGGCAGACTTACAGTAATTATTACAGTTAGAATAAAATAAGGATCAGAAAAAAAAGAAATACAAAGCATAACATTTCAAAGATTAAAATTTGTTGGCAGAGTGTATAATAAAAATAAAATTACGGCCTCACGGTTGTATGACAACCAATCATGTTGCAGTTTACATCCATGTCTGTCCAAAATCTCATCACTTCGTCATTTAAAAAAATATATAAAATAAGCATATGAACTCTAGAGTTTTGACCTTTTGTGAGGTCACAGTGACCTTTCACCACCAAATTCTACACAGTTCAACCATGCAAGTGGGTTTGTGCCAAATTTGAAGAATGATCTCAAGGTGTTCCTGATTTATTGGAATTTGAAATAGGAATGGACCAGACGGACGGACAACCCAAAAACATAGTGCCACCAGCCGCGGCTATTGCAGAATAAAAACATGTCAATGCTCAGAGACAGATGATCTGGACAAAGTCCACCATCCTGATGGTCTGAGGAAAGAAGCTTTTTCTGAATCTTCCTGTAAATGGATTACTGAGGAGTTTGCCTGATAACTGTATACAGTAACTGCCTTGTAATTGAGACATACTGTATGCCTTTAGGGTTAGGGTCCGTCCTAATACCCACACTTGAGGTCTTGAGCACTTAAGCACCCATTCATGCAACGCCAAGTAATAGACAAGTGTCTCCCAGGTTAGTAAAATGCCCATACTTTATGCACACTTTTCCAAATACTCTTGAGTGGTAATCAGAGCGAAGTGTGTCCCACAATTCAACATGGTCTGCTGCACAACACTGGTCCAGTTGTTGATGGTTGTGCATCTGTGTGCTGGTTTTAGGACCCACATTAATCAACAGGCATGGTTTGTAAGGCATGAAGTTTGTAACACGTTGGATGTATGCACACAAATGTTATGACAGAACCTCCACACATGGTTATCATTTATTTTATATCATCTGTTCTTCTTGATGGGACTTTTAGCAGACAGAAACCATTCAATTCGACAGAGAAAATCACACCGAAACCGATCAACATGAAATCATTTTGTGTCTCTTTTATGTTCAATAGATCCACGTGCTGTTAACACTACTCAACAGGAAAACAGGCCAAGGAATTGTTGCATTACGTATTATAGTTTTATGGATTTTATGGTTTTACGATTTCTTTACTTATTTTCATAATGCCTATCTTTTATAGTTTTTATCTCACAAGGCATGTGCAATATTGTTTATATCTTTATTCCTTATTGTGTTATCTTCTTTGTCTTGTCTGATAAATGTCTTTTTGCTGTAGCACTATTGCCCAAGAAAAATTCCTCCCGGGAACAATGAAGTATGTCTTTAAACTCAAATGATACAAATATATTGTATCATGTCGAAAAGAGCAAAGCCCTCTGGGGAAGAGGAGGAAAAACAGGGAAAGCACAGAGGTAACGTGATGTTAGCAGTAGTTACCGTTGAAGCAGAATGCTACTAGCTTACTTTGGCCAATAGCAACATTTGGTTTTTAATAAATAGAGTTAACAGCAATTACTTCAACCTTAAACTCCCACCTACAACCTTGTTTTGAGGAATACAGTCAAGTGTGATCAGCATATCTTAAAGACATAATGCTATTGCAGTTTCAGTGTGAGTGCATGAACGAAATGATTGGTGGTGGAATTTGCTGTGATGCAACAGGCACCAGCTGAAACCTTGCCCTGGGGCTCCACATTGGTCAGGTCCGGGTCTGGGACTGAATGTTTCTAAGTAAGATACTGGGCCGAGGTGGATGGTGGACTTAGGCTCTCATCAACATCAGCTTCTCTCACCCAATGTTTTTTTTTTTCCATTCGCCTTAACTGAAAAGCTGGAAAACCAGTGAGAAGAGATCTATCAAATGTTCAGGAGTGAGTTGCGAACATACAATATTTAATTATTGTCTTTGTAGATCAGTTACAAAGTCCTACGGACCTATAACCTTGCCGCCTTTTTCACCCATAAAATATACAAGCAGGAAGGAGGGGGAGGGAGGAAAAGCAGACAGGGAAGTCAGATAATGCACTTTCTCGTCAACTACTAGATAACAATAGTCAATAAACAGGGTGGTTGGGATAGGATCAGCAGGTAGAGGTGGATTATTTGGTCCGTGGGGGTTCAGTGTGGTTTCAGTCAGAGAGAAGGCTCCCAGAGAGGAACTCACACATATCATTCATTGTATCCTGGTTTATATTCAACCTGTTGTTTGTTATCTCTGCCGGGCCATCACACAAGAAGCTGTTCAGAGAGAATTAACTATTTCATTCACAAATGGAGCCATGTTTGACTTCTGAATGGATGGATACAATAATATAACTTATTAAACCGCTCTGCAATAACTGAATGGCTTGGCAGGACAATTACACGCTTTTGCCTGTTCTCCATTAGTTGCCCAATTATACTTTTGACTGATAGAGGGACAAATTAACCCAAAGTCAGTTAATTGCAACTGTAATTATATTTACTTAGAGCTTCATAAAACATTTGAGAGGAAGACACTACAAACGAATAAGGTAAATATAGATACTTGTTCATTACTTACATTAGGACAATTCTTTTTTTTGTATTACAAGTTTTCTGAAATGTGAAGTTTAAATATGCTAATTATGCATTATCTAATGGTAACTTTTGGTGAATTCAGGAGAAATATACAGAAAACAGACAAAGTAGTAAAAGAAACCCCCTAAATTTGTAATGAGATCCACGAGTCAGAATTTTTTTTTTATTGAGGCAAAATAGCCCATAATATTCTAAAATATATTTATATTTTTTTAATTAAATATAACTTTTGATCAATCAATCCATGAATGCTTTTGAATCATTCAGTTACTCAACTATAAATGCTCCAGTGGCTCAGTCCAGGCTACCCAGCATGGAAGTTAACCTCCGAAGTGTTATCAGTAAGTGGAAATGGTCCGTCTATTCAGGTGTAGACCAGGGTCGGCTGGGGTTGAAGACAGTTTACTGCTGTGGGTTAATCTGTAACATTCACCTGGGTTATCGTCCTTGTCCGCCCACCTCATTGACTGACAACACACTCATAATGTGGGTCATTTCCCGTCTGCAAAGAGGAAACGTTACATCGTATATGTGATGTCTGAGACATAAGAAAGCTAAATGCGTTTTATAAACTTTCAATAATTACTGGGACATGCGTTAGACTTTAAAAAAAAGAAAAAAAAAGAAGAACAAAAAGCCTCCTCATAACCTCAGAACAGGTGCATCTACAATTGTTTTGCCCCTCAAGGACTACAAATGAACTACAAGAAGCTTTTACAGCGCTCTGAAGTCAAAGGCTCGTGGGAGGAGGAGTTATGTAATAATACAAACATCAGAATTGTCCCGTTAGAGGACCCTCCTCCTCCTGATACGTTACAATCACAGCGAGCTGCTTATAAAAACGGTGACACGTAGACTCCGACACACATCGCGCGCACCGCACTGACCCACTTGTTATTGGCCCACTGACTCGCTCTGACTCGCTCTCAAGGTCCGGCCGCGGACCTCCCCCTCTCTCTTCTGGACACGTTCACGGGACGCAGAATATGGGACAAGAAGCGAGGCCCAACTGGGACAACCCGGTCCAGTTCGTTCTGGCATGTGTGTCGTATGCAGTTGGACTGGGAAACGTGTGGCGTTTTCCGTACCTCTGTCAAATGCACGGTGGAGGTAAGTCACTGGTTCCAGACTGGAGACCCTTTCATAATATAGGCCCAACACTGAACAATGACAGGACTGTGTCTTACAGTAGAGCAAACAATAAGCCTGTACATAATATCATGTTGTTTAAACTTCCCACACAAGGGTATTTCTGCCCTTTTCATTTTGCAAATTAAAAATAAATAAGATTTATTTCTGGCACAGGGGAACATTTTATTCACCGGTTTATTGACTTGTTGCCATGCTGAGTCATGCAAGGTGCGCTGTTTCTGTATAATCAAAGGGTTCCACTCAATGAGTTACTGTGAATGACTTGTTGCAGGTCATAAACTATAATAGAACCGGAATTAGTAGACATTTATACTGTATGTAGCTTATCAACAGACTTTACACTTCAACTGCTGCTGTAGCACCAGAGCGACGGGATAAGAAACAACGGGGAGATGTGATCCAGGGCAAACAGAAGTACGCAGCAAAGTGATACACACAATTACAATTTCATGGGTTTCTTCTTCTCTAACTGTCCGTGAGGACACAGCACAGGAAAGCAATTTGTTTCTGCTAACTTTATTTCTACTGTATGAATATGACATTTGTCAATGCGTTTAGAAATTACAGCGCAGTATAGTACTGCAAAGGGAAGAAATATCGATCTAGTTCATCTTTCAAACGTGGCTGTTCTATAAGAAGAAAGAGTCTGCTGTCTTCTTGCAATAACTACACCGATAATGCAATAGCTTATAACGCAATATTATTACATAATGTAATGTATTTCAATCTAATCAAGCTGGTCCCCTCCTTCAGTTAAAAGTTTGGATATTTCTCTGTAAAGAGGGCTAAATAAAACCGATCGCACAATTGCTCGCTGTAAATGGCAATGGATGCGCTTGTTTACACTATATAGATGTGAGGATATTATCGGCCCATGCTCTACCCAGTTCTTTTAAAACGTGACTTTGTTTCGTTAAAGCAGGATTTGCTCCAAATCACATCACACTTGTATTGCCATGTTTGATTCTTTTTACCCAACAAAAGTACAAAAGGAAAGGTGTACAAGTAAAACTTTGCTCAGTTGCATCATACTGAGAGGGAAAACACACATGTACTGTATGTAAACACAGATATACTCCAGCACTTGTCGGTAACAAAAAACGGTTGTTTCTATATATAAAGATTTGTGTTTGAATGAGAACGAAGAGTTGATCTGTAATGTTTCTCCCTACTTCTCCTGTGTGGAGCGGTGAGGATGAAACAGCAGGTAAGAATTACAGGGGCGTTGCCAGATCTCATAAAGCAGGTCGTAGTGTCCAGAGTAGATATGCAGTGTCATGACGGGAGAATTGTTCTGTCTTTATTGGGTCCTAGTCACGGATCACTAAACAATGAGCACACATCTACTGTAATTACTCTCCTTAATGTGGAATTTTGGAGCAGGAAACCAGAGAGACGCGTGACAGCCTGCTCTCAATGTTTGACAACTCAATGATGATGGTTCACCAACTCCACCAAATGTAGTCAAAATCATTTATACTAAATATGATATTCCTATTCCAATGATGCTTTGATAGTGTGCAAATGGTTCAGATTTATGGGAGACACTGTTAAAAGCCAACAAAATAATTATTAATTAATTAATTTTTAAATGACTCTTAATAACAAAAATGATGTCTATAGTGCTGTAGGGCTTTGATTTCAAGCTTTTTATTATATAGTGCACATGAACTTGAACTGGAAGTTGGGGGGAAAACGTCCAAAATCGGAGTTGGGTAGATGTCCAAATAAAAAGAAGAAATGAAACCTTCAGCAGTGGATCAATGCTGTTTCACAGGTTCATCATTTCTTGCTGTTTCCGTATGAAGTTTCCTGTATAAACGATGTAACTGTAATTCTTGAGTTACGGCCAAAAACATGTCTTGTGTGGTTACAGTGACCTTTAACAACCACATTTTAAGTATGAAGAAATCTGCCCGAGGTGTTCCAGAGATATCACAAGAACGGGATGGACGTAAAGTCACAGTGACCTTTGACCTCCAAAAAACTAATTGGGTTATCCAGAGTGGGTGTTTATACCAAAATGTTAAGAAATTCCCTCCAGGCATTCCTGACATATCACGTTGAACGAGTATGGACGGACAGACGGACAACCCGAAAAACATATTGCCTCCTGCCACGTCTATTGCCGCCTCACAGGCTTAAAATGACTGCTATAGATTGAATGTTTTATCAGTTTCATCATTTTTTTGTTTTCATTATGCCACACCTCTTAATGCCACGAGTGTTATCTTTCAGTAAATCTGTGCTACCCTAACCCCTTCAAGAAACCAGAGGGACAAAATTCTTTGCTCCACATTTCCTGTTTAAAAAATGAAGGCCTAGACTAGCAGCAAAAGTCATGACGTTTAGGCTTTTACTGTTGTTGTTTTTACTACTATACTATATTTCCTCCTTCAGGGGGGTTCTTGATTCCATATTTGATCATGCTGCTTCTGGAGGGTATCCCCTTATTTTACTTGGAGCTTGCCATTGGTCAGAAGATGAGCCTGGGCAGCATCGGGGCATGGACTGCCATCAGCCCTTATTTGGGAGGAGTAGGTAAGTGCTGACTGAACTGACTGACTGTACTGACTGTGCATCCATGCAGGTTTCAGGACATAATCACCGCATGCAGACACAGTAGTGACGAGGGAGCGCCCTCACCTTTCTGGTTGGCAGATAAGAGAACAGCATGTTGGATCGGCATCAGTGATAAGCCAACACGCCGGACCCCACTTTTATAGTATACAATATACGATATACGATATAATGCTTCACACAATATTTGAAGCAATACTTTTCAACACTATTAGACGATGACACAATTCTGGCAACTCTTGACTTTGTTAGGCCTCGTTCACGGGACTTGGTTTTTACGACATAGAGCTTGTTGACTCACATGGATAAACTGACATGGAAGACTTATGGGTTAATAGCTAGTTGTAGAATAAGTAAAATGTGAAAATAAAGTTATCCTATGTAATGATTTTGGATATTTCTTCTATAATTTTCTCGTTTTAGGTCTTGCTAGTGTTGTGACGTCCCTGTATCTGTGTCTCTATTACAACATCATCAATGCATGGAGTTTCTGGTACCTCTTTCATTCATTTCAAGTGAGCTGCTAATTAACAAACTACTGTAATTTTTTGTCATCAGCCGATACTATACATACATATATTTAAACTGTCGGATATTGCTTGGGCAGTGAGCTAACACGCCAATACTGTTCTGTGTTCACTCCATTCTCAGTCAGTCCTGCCATGGGCAGAGTGCCCCCTCAATTCCAACCAGACGGGACCCATAGAGGAGTGTGAGAAGGGGACACCCACCCAGTACTTTTTCTACAGGGAAACGCTGAACATCTCTCCTTCTATTGAAGAGAATGGAGGCATTCATACAGGCCAGGCAATGTGCCTTCTGCTGGCCTGGATAATTAGCTACCTATTCATTGTCAAAGGAATAAAGTCAACAGGAAAAGTAAGAGTGCTCCAAGTCCCTCAGACTGCAAATATTGAAAGCATACACGCTGGGAGGTATTCCTTGTTGTACATGGTTTGGGTCTAGTCAGCCAATTGTAACTGACAACTTTTAAGATACAATTGGAAAAATCTACTTTTCACTGGTTGGCTAAAAACACAGAAGCCGACAGCACGTTAGCGCGGCATTCACTGCAGAGCCTGTTTGTTACCGTAACCCACTGACAATGTTATCTTCGCTTCACTTGTTCAACTAACACTAGCAGTTTTGATAGCTGACACTCGACTGTCCTACTGTTATTACACACATGTGAACTAACCACAGACACAGTGAGTGGATATTTGGCGTTATTTTTGGCATAAAGAAAAACTAATTTTGTGGCCTGTACAATCATAGGGAAACACTGCATTCGGTTTAAAGAAACACAGGTATCTTCTGTTTTAATTTAATTTACTTAATCTTGTCAGTATCAGCATTACTCATTGTCGGAAAATAACGGCACATTAATTAGCTAACCACAGTCAACAGTTAGTTTAGTATAAAGCACCAATGAGGACTTGGATCTTAAATGCAGAGTGATGAAATCTCCACATTATCAAAATGAACACAATGACTGCAGCTGTAACAACTGTAATGTCACTGTAATATGTTGGAATCACAAAGGAACCAAATATATTCATGTTTACATGTTTGTTAGCCATATGAAAGATCTTTGCCCATGCAATCACATACAAGTACAGGAAATAACAATTTACATATTTGTTAGACCTGTAGACCAAAACTGGCTCACTGAAAAAGTTACATTTAAAGAATTGTGTAGCATGCAAGTGTTAGACCAGAGTAGTGGGATGATAGTGGGGGATATGATGATAAGTTGTCCAACAAGCCACCCCCCTTTTCCCACGCATTCACTCCCATGTTTGAACTCTGACCCTAACTTTGCTGTTTGTCTCCACCTGTAGGTGGTGTACTTCACAGCCATATTTCCATACGTGGTACTCTTTATCTACCTGATCCGGGGCTTCACTCTGCATGGCGCCCTCAACGGTGTCGCGTACATGTTCACACCGAAGGTAAGGCTATGTTGGAAATTGGACAATAGCCATACTGCCATTGAAGCCGAGAGATGTTATCTAACAAAATAGAGTCACTATTGCGTATCAATAGTAGTACAAATTGTGAGATATGTATTCCTTATGTATTGTCATACCAAGGACAAGGACAATACTCGATACTTGATAGTGCCCATGGTACAGGCCGGACAATCAATAAAATATGACTTCTTAAAATGTAAGGTGTAATGTTTTGTTCTAATGTGTGCTTTGTGTGTGTGTGGTCGCAACTGTGCCCATATGTGCATATGCGTCTGTCTGCTTTCAGTTGGAACACCTTACCAACCCTACTACATGGATCAACGCGGCCACTCAGATCTTTTTCTCTCTGGGTCTGGGTTTTGGGACGCTCATAGCATTTGCCAGCTACAACGAGTACCACAACAACTTTGAGCGCCAGGCCATCATTGTTTCCCTCATCAACTGTGGAACCTCCATCTTTGCCAGCATTGTCACCTTTTCCATCTATGGGTTCAAGGCCACCGTCAACTACGAGAACTGCTTGGAGAGGTGTGTGTGTGTGTGTTTTTTCCTGACGTGTATATGTGAGTTCACCCTGACAACTGTGTACATGCATGTGCCTTAAAAGAATATGCAAAGGCTGTGCGTATGTGCACACTATAGCTGGAGGTAATTTTATGGTTTAATTTTTTGGGTTCCTTGGATTATTTTTTTTTTGTATTAATGCAATTAAAATGTGAATTTTTCTTCTTATGTGGATCACTTGCATAAGGTTACTGATGGATGCAGGTGAATGTCAGATGGAAATTATGCCAGAGGGTAACTTAGACCAGTAGGCAGAGCGATGGGGACGGAAGGATACAGGAGCCCACTAGAGGGGATAAAATGTTTAGTTACTTCTTGGCAGAATTGATCCACCTGTGTGCGGTGCCAAGTGGCGTGGATGTCACCACGGGTGTGCTGAGTGAAAAATATTTCATATTTAGTGAATACCATCCTAAGCATCCTATGGCTGCACGGGGCTTAGCGTGATATGGAAACACCTTAATGACATTTGGAAGTGTTGTACAGGCCATACAGGATTTACTGATTATCCATCCATCCATCCATTTTCCTCCGCTTATCCAGGGTCGGGTCGCGGTGGCAGCAGGCCAAGTAGGCTGACCCAGACCTCCCTCTCACCGGCAACATGTTGCAGCTCATTCTGGGGGATCCCAAGGCCTTCCCAGGCCAGCTGGGAGATGTAATCCCTCCAGCGTGTTCTGGGTCTTCCCCGGGGTCTCTTCCCAGTTGGACGTGCCTGGAAAACCTCCAGTGGGAGGCGTCCAGGAGGCATCCTAATTAGATGCCCGAACAACCTCAGCTGACTCCTTTCGACGCGAAGGAGTAGCGGCTCTACTCCAAGCTCTCTCCTGATGACCGAGCTCCTTACCCTATCTCTAAGGCTGAGCCCGGCCACCCTACGGAGGAAGCTCATTTCGGCCGCTTGTAGCCGCGACCTTGTCCTTTCGGTCATGACCCAGAGTTCGTGACCATAGGTGAGGGTAGGAACGTAGACCGAGTGGTAAATTGAGAGCTTTGCCTTCCGGCTCAGCTCCCTCTTCACCAAGACGGTCCGGTGCAACACCTGCTTTACTGCTACAGCCGCACCGATCCGTCTGTCGATCTCCCGCTCCATCTTACCCTCACTCGTGAACAAGACCCCGAGATACTTGAACTCCTTTGCTTGAGGTAGGCACTCCGTCCCCACCTGGAGGGAGCAATCCACCGGTTTCTGGCAGAGCACCATGGCCTCAGATTTGGAGGTGCTAACTCTCAAGCCCCGCTGCTTCACACTCAGCTGCAAACCGCCCCAGTGAATGCTGGAGGTCACGATCCGAGGAGGCTAACAGGACCACATCATCTGCAAACAGCAGAGAGGCGATCCCGAGACCCCCAAACCTGACGTTCTCCGCCCCCAGGCTGCGCCTAGATATCCTGTCCATGAAAGTCACGAACAGGACCGGTGACAAAGGGCAGCCCTGGCGGAGGCCAACAATTTACTGATTAATACGATTTATTAAGATTTATTTAGAAAAATATTCAAGCCATACTGCTGGACCAGATGAGAGATGAGGGACAATTGTGTTCTGGAAGAGGTGTTTAAGATGTGGGATGCATCATTGATTTTGAGAGGTGATTCTGTGAAATCTCCACCAAGCTGTCAGAGTCAAAACCTTTGTTGAGCTCGCCAAACAACGGTGGTTTTAGATATAAGACTGATGAATGGGAGGTCTGCAAGCTCTAATACATTGTAGCTGATTAGAGAGAAAGTAATGGAGAAAAAAGTTGGGGGCTTCAAGATCTTCTTGTTCTTCTCATAATTGAGAGTGGGAGTAAGTTACTTAATTGTTATATCCATGTCAGACCCATTCATACAAGTCTACTATCCATCTGTATCACTGTTTGAGGATACTTCAATCTGCAGTGTAGTTCATGAACTCAACTGATCAACCTAGAAAATATACTGAATTACATCCAACAAGAAAAGTTTCAGTTTTACATCTCTGTCCATATTCGTGCTCCCTTCCTCTTGATCACCCACACTTGGACTCTTTTCAGTCCATTCTCAGTGGGATAGTAGTCTGCTGAGTATTTCTTTGATTATTGGATCTTCCAGTCTAGCTCCTCTCAGTCATTTTCCCACCTTGCCCATGCTCCCTGCTGCCAAATGTCCACCATCCTGCTGTTCTGTTCCAACAGCCCACACCTCCTCCAGGACTAGTCGGCGTCTGTCCCAGGCTTTCAATTAGTGCGGTACACCTGACTTGTCCACAGTGGTGAGTGAGGTCTCAAACTCCCTGTTGGTTGCTCGGATAGTAGCTGTATTCCTGAGGCTACAGTTGAAGACTTTGCCCAAGCTCTCAACTGGTTTCTCTTTGATGGAGAGATGGAACTTTGTAGCTCCTCCTTGCCCAGGCGGTGTGCTTTTCCAGCCTCTGGAGGATCCACCTGCTGGCCTGTACTGATTTTGTGGTGACAGTGAGGTCATCCATGAAGGCTCTGAAGGGGGGCTGCCATAAACCGGACTCGGTCAGGGGACCCCTGCACTTTGCCTTGGTTGCCTTGACCGACATTGTAAGGGAAAGGGCAAAAAGAATAACAGAGATTGTGCACCCTGTTATGATGCCCTTGTCCAGCCGATGCTAGACTGATGTCATAGATCCAGATGTGGAGCTAAGCTGTAAGTTACCATAGTGGTTGAGGATGAGGTCCTTTGATCTTGCTGGGAACATGGTAATGGTCCAGGGCCTCCTCAATCAGCTTGTGGAATATTGACCTGTATGCATTGACGCGCTTAACATTCTGGGTGATGGTCAGGATGAAGACAGTGTACTCTTCATGTAACGGCCCTTTTTATCCCCTCTTCCAGGACACGCGTACTACTGCTGAATACATTTGATCTAACAGAGGACAGCATCAACATGGACAATGTCTTTGAGTGGATCGAGAAGCTAAACACAACATACCCAGCGCAGTTTGCTGAAATCGCCAACAAATTGGAAGGCTGTAACCTGGAGAGCGAGCTAGACACTGTATGTTCCCCATCATTTCAATTTGTCTTAATATGTGTAATTATTAATATATTGAGAATACAATTGATTCACACATATTGCTAGACACAAAAACATGTCAAAAGAAAAACAAAAGAACAGTGCAATCAATGGCAATAAGTTTCCACCTAATTATTGTAAAAATATAGCACCTGCAGTATAAAGATTGCGCTGCTTTTGCTGCCGCTAAACCTTGACAAATGAAACAGAAAACCCTACAATACTCAAAGATCCTGCAAACGGTGAAATGTACCCCTAACTGTGCTGCCAAGCAAACAGCTCCTCGTGCTCCTGTGTTATTTGCAAATAATTAAATTATGTAATATTCATATAGTTTGCGCAAAATTGTATATTCGTTTGGCCACTTGAAGGCAGCAGAGACAAGTTGTGAGCACAGCAATCGACATATCCTCACCTTTTAAGTCGATATTGCAAATTTGTTAGCAAACAGTTGCTTATTTCCATATCCTGCAGTTACAGAGCAACATTATCATTCATTTGTAGCTGTGTTTCGATCCACCTGACGATTGGACTGTAATGAACCTATTTTAGCTCTGTTTTTGATCTCTACCAACTCCTGAGTATCTTTAGCTGCTAACTGCTCCACTATGTTCATCGGCTTCTCTCCGATTGTGTCTGATTGCTGTTTGCTGCTGAGCAGGTAGTGTACAGCGAGAGCTTTTTCTCTGAAAACAGCAGCCATGTGCAGCTAAAAACAGCACCATGAGAGCGGCGAAAGTGAATCTGAACGGTAAATTTGTGGGCCGGACAGCTGAACTGAAACAATTTATAAAGCTCTGTAGAGCCGAGGGGAGCAGCAGGTTTATAATTACTAAGAGCGACCCCTTGCACATTGTCACATGGTTTTCACATTGTTACAGTAGAAATACTGATTCTACCCAATTTAATATTGCATATACGTTAAGGTGAGTGGGTCAAGACAGTTTAATATTGTTTAAGGCTTTGATAGGGACAAATGATTATCGATAATGATAAACACTTCCTCTGTGATGATGGGGGTCCTGTATGATTAGTGCATCAATTGTATAAAGACAGAACAAAAATTATTAGATATCTTTGAATTGTTGGAAATCCTTTTAAAAGAGTGAAGGAGAGACGTTTTTGAAATTGGGTGCGCAAAACAAGATATGGATTTTCTTTTAAATATTGCAATAACAGTTGAAGAAGAAACCATGTAAAGCAAGAGGCAGAGAGACTGATTAGTCCCGGTGGACAAAATGTAATGCTGCCACAAGACCTGGTGGGTTTTGAGCAATGTGTGCTAACTAATGACTTAATTGCTTCTACTTCGTAGAGCAAAAGTCATCTGAATGTAGCAACGTTCTCTGAGCCCAATTCAGAATCCATTCCAGTCATAAACTGTTCGTCTCTCTCTTCTGTTTCAGGCAGTGGAGGGGACGGGTCTGGCCTTCATTGTGTACAGTGAGGCCATTAAGAACATGCCAGTGTCTCAGCTGTGGTCGGTGCTGTACTTCTTCATGCTCCTGCTGTTGGGAATGGGCAGCATGCTGGGCAACGTCACCGCCATCATCACCCCGCTGCGGGACTTCAAGTTCACGTCCCACATCAGCGACGACTTGCTCAACGGTAAGATCCAGGCTGATGTTGATGGAAAATGTTGCCACGGTCAGCCTTTGTGTCCGTCAGTCCCAAAAAGCCAATCGCCATATTGGTGCGTTTTGGTGGATCAACAAGTACTCCGATCATTTACTCGAGTAAAAGTAGTAATACTAGAAATACTCTGATACAGGTAAAAGTCCGGCATTCAAAATCGTACTTAAGTAAAAGTACATAAGTAATGTCATCAAAATTGATTTAAAGTACAAAAAGGGAAAGTATTCATTATGCAGAATGGCTTCTTTCAGAATACTATTTATCATAGGATTATAATAATTAATGCATAACTGTATTCAGCATTTTAATGATGCAGCTGGTAGAGGTGGAGCGAAATTGAATTACTTTTTTAATTTATCCCCAGGGGTCAATAAAGGTTTCCCTATAATAATACATCATAATTTATGAGTTGATCATATTTTGTATTTAAAAAATCACATAATATAAAAACAAATTTAAGTCTGTACAAAGTAGCAGAAAATGAAAATTAGAAGTACATTATAATTGTACTTAAATATTGACTTGAGTAAATGTTACTTTCAGCCGCTGGTGCTGATCATACTGGTTGTGGTTACAGACAAAGTACTCTACATTATATACATACACTTGTTTACATCCCTTCATATACACATGTCTGCTGCAACATAGTATGTGTTGCTATGCAGCTAATGTTAAAACGTCCTGTGCCCTGTGTTTCGCTCGCAGGTATAGTGTGTGTCTTTTGTCTGCTGCTCGGCCTGGGCTTCACCACCACGTCAGGGAATTACTGGTTTGTCATGTTCAACGACTATGGAGCCAATTTCTCCCTGCTCTTCATCGTCCTCATCGAGGTCATAGCCATCAGTTACATCTATGGGATTAAAAGGTTTGTGTGCGGCGGCACCAGCGTTGCCAGATGTACGATCATCATCGTATTTGTACGATCATTCATTTTGTGCACTGCACAACATACGATCAATAATGCCAAAAGTGCCTCAATTTCACCATTTTGTGACGCTTACAATTAGTAGTTGGTTTTAGTCTGAGCTATTTCATTTGAATTAATTTCAGGACAGCAAACATTGCTACGTCAAGGCAATGTGGGTAGATTTGCAAAATTACAAATGTACACCTAGTTTTTCTCAAGGTTATGACTTGTGTACGATAATCTTAAACCTCTGGTTAGATAGTTTAACATTTCCCACATTTGTGTGCCTTCAGTTGGCTCCACTAGTGGCTAGTATGTGAATTGAATACGTTATCTTCTCATTTTAGGTTTGAGAAAGACATAGAAGACATGCTGGGTCATCGTCCCAACTGGTACTGGAAGATCATGTGGGCAGGAGTCAGTCCCCTTCTCCTTATCACCCTCTTCATCGTCTACATCGTCAAATACATCCAAGGAGGGACACCCACCTACCAGGCATGGAACAAAGAGCTGGTGAGCTGTGGCTTTTTTCTCCTCCTTTACTGATGTCTTTTATGTATTACTTTTTATCTTTCTATCTTATCCATTTCTATCTCCAAGCTGGTTCACATGTGTGCATGTGGAGGGGTTAAATTGGGCCGGAGAAAGCCGGAGGACAGATCCGCCTCCTTCTGATGTCCAAATTGCGATCGCACAGCTGTGTCTCCTTCAATATCATATTATATCATATCTCATGTTATCACCTCACCTAAACAAATGTCATTACAAATAAGACCACGCCACCAAGCCACTTCTTAATGAAGAACTACTACGACTACTATTTATAAATATTATATGGGGCAGGGCTTCTCGACCTTTTGGAACTTGTAAAAGGCCCAATTCTGATTGTTAAAAAGATTCCGAAGGCCACCTTTCCAAATAAATGAGAAAAAGAAAACAACATGACAAAAAAGAGAAAAACAAAATATAAATCATTTACCATGCAATAAGGATGCTACTCTTACTTAGCTGGTGTCATTTTACGCCACGTTGTCTGGTACTGACTGCGGCGTAAAAGCATACGTGTGAATATGCTACGTTCAGAGCTGGTGATGTAGTATGAAAAGTGAGGACAGCTACTTATGGTGGGTGGGTCAAAGAAACACAGGACTTTCAACCAGGAGACCGGCGTTTGTGTTGTTGAGTTGTTTTGAGTTACGTCACAGATGCTTGTGACGTACTTTCCATACTTATGTTAAGTTACTAAGTAACAACGTGGCGTAAAATGACACACCAAAAGCCTAAAATGTGTTAACTAGTCAGCTGTAAAACATAATCTAAATTGACTCACTAATTTGAATGCAGGTCTAAAGTGTGCCTTATAAAATAAGATTAGCCTTTATTGCCTTTAAAAAGCACAGTATGCTTGGGGGCGGGACTACCTTGTGATTGACATGACGTTGACGGTCTGGAAGTTGTCCGTGTTTTTGTCTTAGAACTTGAACCCTTTACAGTGTGTTTTCATGCGGATGATATTATTGGTTTAGAATCTTCCTCAATCACTAAAAAGTATTTTGATGCACATATCAACGGGTAGCAAACTGGAAAAACTCAACATAAATAAAAGGTGTTTAGTGTTTCAGATAAATCTGTCTGCAGTGGTGTAATGTAGTCACGACGGGTCCAAGAGCACGCTGTTATGATGGGCACAGCCCGCTTGCATGCACACACACACACACACACTTTTCCTACAGCCTCTTATGTTTGAAAGGCACAACTGCTCGCTCGGCTTGACAGATTTTGCGCCCTAAACTAGCTACAGTGTATCTTAGCGTCTCGTCACATGTTTAAATAGAGACTTGACCTTGTACATCAATATTCATATTACCCAGCAATCATGATTGCATATATGGAAAAATACCAAAGAAAATTAGAAACTATTAATTTAATTGAATAGCTTTTTTTATTACTTTTTGTAGTTTATAAAAATGGCTGTAATTAACTAATGTGTCAAGTCAAAGTGCTAAATGTAGCTGTGGTTTCCTCAGGGCAAGTCGGTGGTGATGGAGTATCCCGTCTTCGGCCAAGTCTTCATCGGGCTGCTAATGGTGTCGTCGGTCAGCTGTATCCCCCTCACAGCTCTGTATGTCTACTGCAGGGAGAGGAAACATGGAAACCATCACATGAGGCAGCGCACTGTCAACACGGTATCTACTTAGTGCCCAGATGATACACCGGGGGGTTGATCACCTTCCTTCCTCGACGCTTCCATACATCTGTCCCTTCAGCTGAACGCAGCGACGACACGCAGCGTCACCGATTGGTGTTGGGTACATTCAGGTTAATGTATTACTGTACAGTTTCCATCAGTATTAAAGTCAAACTTCTGAACCAGATTCCAATCAATACTCTGTGCACTTAAAGAGAAGTTCAAGTTGTATTTGCAACATTATATTACAGTTTGTTTGATTGCCAAACATTTAGAGCAAATGTAGTTGAATGTAGGACGATATGTAGCTTACTCAGAGGGTTATATGTTTGAGTATGGTATTCTTTTTTTTCATGTCTTATACATTGCAAAAATGTCATGTTATTCATATTCAGCCATAGATATTAATGTCTCAACGGAGTGAACTAATTCAGGGTCAAATCAAGTTTATTTGTAGAGATGCACATTCCCGAATGGGATTAAAGTCCAGCGATAGGATTACAGAAAGTTCAGCATTACTGCCACTAGTAGTTAATGCTGTTTTTGAGAGTCATTATTGTTGAAATATGAAAGAAGGGGCCATTTACATCACTAGTACCAAAATATGACTTTTTTATTTTAATGTAGTGCTTAAAAAATATCACTCCACTTTGGCTGAAAAGTTGAAATTCTTTGAAGATTATAACCTGTTGGACTCAATAATAGACCGAGTAGTCAACTAATAATAGCTTGTATTGAGTTTTCTGGTAAACGGATTTACACATGTGCTCCAATGTAAGAAGGTTGTACAAATTGTCTGTTTTTCCTATATATTTAGTATTTGTTGAGAAGTAGCTTTCTATCTGTCCTGTCCTGAAAGGGCTGGATATGCTATGAGACCTTATCTGTAATGTGTGTGAAATGGAGAGCAGATAAAGTCACGTGTATTAACCAGTAATAGATCTAATGTGGTAAATATAGTTTGAATACTTAAGTATTTGCCTTGCACAGCCTCAAATATGTAAAATGTGTACATACTGTAGATACGTGTGTCATCTAATGGTCTAATGATTGGAATGCTTCAGAAATGTGATTTCTTTTCTTCTTTTTGTGCAATTGGCTAAATGAAGTGAGTTAGTAGTAACTGACTGTCATAGACGATGAACTAACTAGTTTGATGTTAATTAAAATGTAATCAAAAGTTCCATTAACATACATCATGTCATGAGTAGTATTGTAATCATTTATTGATCTTTCTGCTCTTAACTTTTATGTTGAATGGCGGAAGATACATTTTTTATTAAAGACAAATGTTGATGTTAATAATGGACATGTAGTCTCTGTGTGCGAGTGAATGTGTGTGTGTGTGTGTGTGTGTGTGTGTGTGTGTCTCTAATGCAAACAATTATCACTGAATATGATATTCTGATAATACAAATACCTTTTTGTTGTTTGACAGGACAATGAAAATGGCCATTTGCCAATACTCTAGCTACTCTGAGCAACTAAAGCCACAGTGAATTATGTATTGCTTGCTACATTGCTGTTCACACATGAATATAGCGTCAAGAATATTACCACGGAATGACAGAAATAATATTGATCTTGAACGTTCTCCCTTGACCTCTGAAACAGTGGCTTCACAAAGTGATTGTCAACACCAAGTCCAACCTACTTGTTGCTTCTGAAGCTTTCAAGCGTGCCTCTTGGCTTTCTTCAGCAGATGGAGTGGCTCATGGTGGAGGTGGTTTAGTGATTGGTTGTATACTGTATGTGTGGAGGTGATGGTAACCCCTGCCTAATTTCAAAGATGATCTCCCTTAATGTGTGTTTTTGTCCTTTATGTACCTGTGTGAGTAAGGTCAAAGACAAATTCTCATCACCTTGCAATCGGAAAAAACAGAAAGCTAAACCGATCATGATTGGCTTCCTTGATCTTTTCTCTCAAAATCTCCCCCGTTGGAGTTAACTTGCACGTGGAAGATTTTAAACCGGGACAGCGGCTTCCACAGTCTCACACACACACACACACCGGTATCTAATTTGAACTTTGAGCAGTAGATAAT